AACAACTCTTTGACTGCTCCATAATCTAACAACTCTTCGACAAGGATCTATGTTAATTGCTGACTATTTGACTGCTTTGATGAATGTATGATCCAATATGATGCATAGAAACTGATGCAAGAAAAATGCAAAACTGTGATGTGAAACAGAACTGAACTAGAATGCATTGCATTTCTAAAGAAGGTTCACTTGTGATTAAACTAAGGGTGGGATGTTTGGGGGCAGCTACATCGCTTTATAAAATTAGTTATGAAGTTGTTATAGAGAAAACACCTTAGCTACGCTAATTACAAAAAGTAGTTTTCCATCATAAAAAATTTTAGAAAATAATGAGAAAGCAATAACCAAATGAAATTATACATGTTGCCTGTGTTTGGAGTAAACAAAGAATGAAAGAAACAAGAAAACAAATAGCAAAGAAAGAATACCAAAATTTCAGGTGAAAAAACCTGAAAACGAGAAAAAACCACATAGTCATACCATGCTAAGAAATATACTATGAAAAATAGAAAAAATTGTACAAATCTATCTCTCTCTTCTCCCACAATCTTCACACCCTTTCATGCACACACACCTTTTGAGGTTACAACCATATAAAAACTGTAGGAAAAAAAACACTTAATTGGCCTGTAGAATCGTTGTGTTGGACCCGCAGCGCCTTGGCACTCGATTCTCTATCCCATAGCAGGTCTACAATACTGCAGCTCTGTGTTCACAATACCTCAGCGCTGAGCTCTTTGTCCCAAAGGGTATCCACAATGCCTTAGCGCTGGAATTTTTACACCACCGCAATGCTGTACGAATAAAAACATTATTTTTGGGAGGCTAGGCTCAGCCATTAAACCCTTACAATGCCCAAAGCAGCCATAAAACTATCCCAACCATATCCTAAGACATGTTTCAATAAGTTATAAAATGAAAAAGTTGTCTAGACATATATAAAAAAGTGCATCATGAGGGTCATGTTTAAAGTAATCTAGACTCAACAATGACAATAACGATGCTTGCGGTGATATACTGTTTCAGCTCTTTATAGACTCAAAAGTTCTACTCCAAGAAATAAACCTCCATAAATAAACTAAATAAATGAATTTCTCCAAATCATCTATAATCAATGAAATGGGCTAGACCATTTAAACAAAGGAACTTTTGAGCTCACCATCTCATATAAGATCTTAGTCTCTGAATTAATAGTGGCTTGAGTAATTGTGTAGAAGCACGAGTTTCAAGCTATGTTAGTACTAATCTTGTTGAGAACATGTCTATCCTGAACATAAAAATAGGATAAAGAGTTAAATCTGCTACACAGTGTAAAGATTTTGATGCCGTAAGAGCATCTACTTTAGAGCCATTAGGTTTATTCTTTTCCACAATTTTGTAAGGCTTAGAATTTTTATTGGTTAAAATTTTAATAGTTCACACAAACTGGTGTATGCTTTTTGCTTATGATATTCTTCTTGTTGATAAGACTAGAGAGGGAGTTGAAGGTAAACTTGAATTATGGAGGTCAACCTTAGAATCTAAAATTTTTTGTTTAAGTAGATCTAAAACCAAATACATGGAATGTACTTTTAATAGTAATAGATCTAATGGGGGAAATGTGACTTTGGACGATCAAATCATTAATAAGAGTACATGTTTTAGATATCTCGGGTCTATTGTCCAAAGTGATGGTGAAATAAATGGGGATAGTATTAGTAAAATTCAAATTTGATGGTTGAATTCGAGGAATGCATCGGGCATGTTGTGTGATATAAAAGTACCGCTCAGCCTTAAGGGAAAATTCTATAAGATGGTGGTGAGACTTGCAATGCTTTATAGTGCAAAATGTTGGCCATTAAAAGATAAGCATACATTTAAGCTAAGTGTTGCAGAGATGATGATGCTCTGGTGGATGAGTCACTTTACTCTTAGAGATAGAATGCAAAACGAGCATATTGGAGTAGCTCCTGTGGCAAATAAGTTTAAATAAAGTCGTCATAGATGGTTTAGTCACATAAAATGACAATCTTCAGATGACCCGGTTAGGAGAGTAGATGTATTAGATTTGACCTATGTTAAGATAGGTAGAGATAGACCTAAAAAGGCTTTGTTAAAAAATATCAGAAATAACTTTTATAGTAGATTTAAATGAGAATTTGACTCTTAACATGACATAATCAATAAAAAGAATTCATATAGCCGACCTCACATAGTCAGATAAAGACTTGATGTTGTTGTTGTTATTGTTGTACACAATATCTCACTGAATTCTTCAAGTTGTTTATTGAAATCAGCATGAGAGTAATCTTTTGTTGAATTTTTTATTGTAAATCATATTTAACTTTTAGCAATTGTTGATTTGAATGCACTAAAATTACATGATTCAAAAGTAAATACCCTTAAGGAGGAAAACATGCAAGACTTAAATAGATGTACAAGCTCAATGTTAAAATTTAATATTATTAAATTGGAATTATTCTTTTGTTAAAATTCATGCATGGCAATCCTAAAATTAAACCAATAGAAGATTCCAGGGAATGTAACTTTAGGGATGATTTAGTGGACAAAATATTTGAGGAAGCTTGTCAACATAAAATTTTATGGGAAGCTTATCAAAAGTGAAATTATGTAAGTCCAATAAAATCATTGATAGCGCATCAATTATAGATTTGGTTAAACAAAGAGGCATAGGTGACTCCTTAATCATTTTGTTTTCATTAATACATCTTCCTTTGTCAGAAGATCTTTTCCAAGACACCCTAAATGCCTTTTTCTCAAGGAGAAAAGTACAACAAGAGAATTAATACTCAAGATGTCCTCTTGCGACGATTTTTAATGAATATTGTGATCTAACTAAGGTGGTTATTTTTTATTGGCAAAGATATCCCTCAGTTCTGAAACAAAAGATACACAGATTTAAAAAAAGTTAATGAAGATAAACGATCAGCTACAATAAATACTCCCAATAAGGTACCCTTCAAAGGTAATAATCTAAATTAATTAGGGATTTATGTTGCATACCTGATTCACTTCCAAGAAGATTGGACAAAATTCTCTCTGTAAAAAATTGATGGTATTATGAGTTATAATTAAAACCAACTGTTAGGAATTGGATATTACTGAATATCTTAACGCTACTAAGCAAAATCACCAACAAGAAAACAATAGAATTAAGGTGGCCAAGGTGATGTCAAAGTCATAGCATATATGCTAAACCACATAGTTATTGAAACAAAACAAAGAACTTATCAATACTCAGAAACTGAGCTGCAACTAAAATATGTCATTGTTCAAAAAGAGGGGTCGTTGAAGTTTGTTCATGAGATGGATAACATCATTTCACTTAAATTAAAAGCAAGTGCAGATACACAGATAAGTGAAAGGCATATACTGAAAATACTCTCTACTCGTTTCTTATAAAATTAAGAACCTAGAGGCTATGAAATAACCTGCTCAAGAGAAACTAGATACTCTGAGAACAATGTTCTCCAAGAAAAGAAGTACAAATGATACCAATAAAATTTTGAACGCTTTAAGGAGAAAGTACTTGATAGTAGCAATGCAACAAGCCGACCTCAAAATAAAATAAAATAAGAAAATAAAATAAGGTAGGAATTCAAAAGAAGCCTGATGAACATGTAGACCAAAAGAAAAAAAATTAACGAGTACAAAATTCTATTCATAAGCTGAAGTCTCTCTTGTTACCAAAGATGGTTTCAATGCTCTGAAGAATTTACTTATCAAAGAGAGCACTGAAAATCTAAAATTTCTTATAAAATTACTTTTGTTGTCATATAAAAGAGCGAGGGAAGGCTAACAGGAATGAATAATCTTGTACTTGGTATGAATATTATGAATTTGGATGACGATTTTTTTTTTTTTTTTATCATTGTTATTTTGTTAATCCAATAAGATTTGATCGCTTTTTGCATATGTTGTTATTTTCTTTTGAATTTTTTCTTATCACCCATTCTTACTATGATGCTAATTGGGCTAGGGTTGGAGATTCTACTAACTAAAAATGTCTTTGATTTTTGTTTCTTCTAAAACACCTCTTTGATTTCTTAGCAAAACAGGCAGATGAGAGTTGCTCGTTCTAGTGGCAATATGGAATATCACACTATAGCTAATATCATGGGGGATTTATTTTGGATGCGACATTACACATAAACATGGAAGTGTGATGTCTACCAAATGCATACCAAGCATATTGAGACTATCACAGTCTATGGTGAAATTATTTGTTCTAATATTCTTGTTCAACCTATTTGATTTACGTGCAAATATTTTTACCAAATCTCATCTCTAGCACATTTCTGTAAGTTGTATGGCAAACTCAAGCTAATCATATTCCATGGTTCCTTAATTTCTAGGAGTATTACTATATATAAATATTCTCCATGATATTAGGAGATTCTCTTGTTGTAATGTTATCTCATTGCTCTCTTCTTTGACCTACATATAGGCCTTAAATTTTCTTGCACAGTTATAGAACATAATACAAAGATTCAATTTCTCTACCAGCGAGCTCCATTCCTAACAGTTTCCATGTAGATCACAAAGTACGCAACTAAAATAAAAATCCTAGATAAGCCAATTAATATAATATATGTTAGCTCTTTGTGGAATCTGATTGTGTTGATCAATCAGGTTGTTCTTTTGACTCATACCTCAATTCCGTAAGTCGAGCTCAATGGAGGCTTGTAGGGTTGCCTCCCCCTAGGTCCCTGAAAACTTTTTCTGTCAGTACATGAGAGCATGTGGCATATATTGTACACTTGTACACTGCAATGTCGTAGTTTGCAGTACGGCAATGCTATAGTTTTGACTTGGAGACAGAGATCGAAACACTGCAGCACTCCATAGCCAGCAGTACGATGCTACAAGTTAGGCCGGAGAAAAAGAATGGAGCACAACAGCGCTCCAAACGCCAATCTCGTGGCACTGCGAATCGAGATGAACAGATTTCTTTCTCGTTTTTTATGCCTAACTTAAAAGGGTTGCATCCCTTAGTGTAATTTAATCATATCTCTTTGTTATTTCTGAAATAGAATGGGGCAAAAGTAAAGAGAGATAACGAGAAAGTGTGAGATAATAGATTTGTATAATTTCTACCAAATTTTCATAGTGAATTTCTTGGTGTTGTGTGGCTTCGAGGTTTTTTTGCTGATTTTTCCACGTTAAATACTAGTGTTCTTTCTTTTTGCTTCATTTTCTCTTTCTTGTTTGTTTCGCTGCATGATTTTACTTCCAACACTGCATTGAACAAAAATAATGACAAAACAACAAACAACTTATATTAGCAAATTTAAAGCACATGCACTTAAAACGCATGACACTTTTGATGAAAAAATGATTTGCATATATCACAAAATTTTAGTTCAGATTTCAATTAATTCTAAGAAATATTTCTCAGGAATGATCCATAGCTTAACAGAAAGGAAATATAACCAAAATAGACAAAAAAAAAAGTAGAATCCTCACTGAACAAATATGCACATTGCTAATCAGCAAAAGAATCAACATTGCCTCTGCTTTAAAGTTTGTCAGTGCCTAACACTTGCCTTCTATGTCTGCAAAAAGTGTATAGCATAATTTAGCCAATCATCCAGCCAGGCTAAGGAGCTATTGGAAAAACATTGCGAAAAATAGTTCTTTCCTGACCACATTGATTGAGCAACGTATAGTAATTACATGCTTCATGTCCCAATAAGGCTGTTCTGCATTTGTAAGTTATACATGTCAGGTGAACATTTGAGATCGCCCATGCAACACGTTGTTCAAATTGAAGAGGAAAAAAAAAAGATAAAATTCACATATAAGGATCAGGATAGCGGCTAATATGTCAGATAATTCTAGGGGAGCGTTGCAGAAGAAAGCAAAAGATTTATACATCATCAGATTAGCTAATTTTACAAATTTTTTGTAATCATAACTTATCTTTCCTTCCATGCAATCTGGTTCAGAAATTCACGTACGTATATACTGCCTTGCGTTTTTTAACATTATAGAAGGCACCAGTGGGATTATATTGTGGGCGAATACACCCTCATCCCTTTATGCCTGAAAAGTTAAGTTATTTCGTGGGTGACAAAGTGGGAAATGAGAAGCAAGAACACCAATTCAATTTGCCATGACCATCTTCTAACACACACTGAAACATTAATCCTCATATCAAGCATGATGGATTAGTGGATTTCCTAATTCCTATAGATCCTAAGTTCTTCATTTATTTACTTGCCAATAAAAAAAAAGGTTACATTGTGCTAGAATTCTACAGGAACACTGTGAAGCAAGCAAAAGAAACTCTACATCACCAGATAAGCTGATTTTCCAAATTGTTTGTAATCATAGCATATCTTTCCTTCTACGCAATCTGTTGTAGACATTCACAAACTCAAATGTCTATTGCATTTCTTTTTCAACCATAATTGATGGCATCATTTGGATTATATTGTACCCAAATGCACCGTCACCCCCCTTACACCTCATAAGTAAAGTTGTCTCATGGGGGATAAAGTAGGAAAATAGAAGAAAGAAAACCAATTCAATTTGCCACAAGGCCCACAACCATGTTTCAACCCACTTTGAAACATTAATCCTCATCTCAAGTATGATGGATTCCCTAATTCCTTTGGATCCTAAGTTATAAATTTATTTACTTGCCAAAATAAATTTCGATTGTGCTATGTTCATGTTATTCATAATTATATACAATAGTTTGAATAACTGTAAATTATCTCATGTTCCAATGTTTTACCCAAGCAAAGGAAGCCCCTTTGAAAGTCTTATAAAATATCTAAATTATTGCAAGTATCAACTTATATATAATATGCATCTTTACTATTTATTACTGATATATATTTGAATTATTGAGTATAATCTTTTTTATTGTTCTCTTCTTTTATATATAAGCATGCATTTGCTTTTACTAGTATGATAGCAAAGTAAAGATATAGTATTTACAAATTCTTTCTCCTTTCAAACATGTACTAGAGTCTAAACATATTCTTGAGCCTGCTTCCTCTTTTGATCATTTCATCCCTCTTCTCACATGGGATTACCACTTGCTTATAGATCTCTTTGCACAATCCTAGTCTAATTCATTGTAGCTTTTTATCACAGTGTGACTTCCAAAGCCCTGATATCTATTGGTAGGATTGAAATCCTTAACTTAGCTTAAATAACTTAACCATCACCAGAGTCGACCAGACCTACTATAAAATCCAAATAATAAAACAACTAAACACTTTTTTTTTCATTTCATAAATATATATATTGTAATCCAATGAACTTTCAATCATTTATACATCCATAAAATTTAAGATTGTATTACAAAAGAGTACCCCAACCACAAGGTCAAAAGATACTGCCTCTATACCTTTCTAATATGATGGGCCTTTACCTTTCCCTGAAATATGGAAAAATATCATAGGATGAGCATAACCAGCTCAACAGACATTTCTCCCAAACCCATTACAAACATCAATATCCAAATTAAGATATTACATAGCAGTTAATTAATTAAAATAAATACAATGACTCGTAAAGAATAAATAAAGTAATAATAAAACCTGAATTATGATTTCATTCCTGATTTACACCTTGGAAGCCACTTTCACAAAGGGTTCAGATGCATCACAGAATATTTGTTATCAAATGTTCACTTCCACTTGAATTTTACATTTTCTTAAGCTTCATTCTGAATTTCAGGAATTATTAATAATCAGTTTACAATATTACTTATACTTAATTTATAGAAATATTAACATATGCAAAAAAATGATTAAAATGTGTATGTCTCAATCCCTGCTTATAATTCCCCTTCCACTTATACCTCCCTTTAACCTTCTACAACTACCTCTAGCCAGGGGCGGAACCAGCTTCAATTTTGAGGGGGGGCAAAAAAAACACAAAAAAATATATATATCTATATATTACGAAAAAAATTTTAAAAAAAATTAAGCAAGAAAAAAAAAAGAAAAAAAAAAGTGTAATTAAACTATCATGAAAAATATTAAAGAGAATATTATAACTAAAAGTGAAAAAATATATAGATATTTTAGAGCAAATTAGAACAAAAGAGTTTTTTAGGAGGGCAAAAAAAAATTTAGGAGGGGTAAAAATTTTTTTTTACTCTTATATATATATTACTCCTTTAAAATTTTTTTTTTTTTTTGAGGGGGGGCAATTGCCCCGCCCTAAGGCTCAAGTAGTTCCGCCCTTGCCTCTAGCAATTGGGGCCACCAAAATCAAAACAAAATAGTGTCACATAACCTTCCACACTTGCTTTCAGCAAGTGGAGCTAGAATTATTCTCACATTCACACTAAACATATGGGGGTCAAAATAGAACATCTAGGGCTCTTGTAACATATCAGATAGTACAATTTTTCACACATTAGAACATCTCCAATATTGTGTTATGAATAGTGCAAATCAAACTGCAACAGGAACTAAATTATAAATTCAACGCAGCACATAATAATGTATAAATTGCCTGTAAAAAGCCAAATTACTGGTATAATGTAATACTCACTATTTTTTTTTTTGTTCACATTCTAACTTCAGAGGAATATTTATATAAACATTTTAAGACTTTTATATAAATATTATAATTGCCAGAAAAGCCTCAATCAATTTATACACAAAGAAATTTGCATCGGAAAAAATAACAGCTGAAAATCTAATTTCTTATGGTCAAAACATATGGGGCAAAGCATATGATAACATATCAAAAGCTATACGGTGAAAACATTGTGAAACCTGCAAAAAAAAATATTTTTATTCATAACTTTTTATAAAACTTTTGGAATTAAAATCAAAGATAGGGGTTCAGAAGTTTGTCTCATGCTCTACAATATTCCAAACAGGCTTGATGGAGGAATCTCCAAATTTGGCCTATGAAATCTCTCTACTCCATTCTCTCTCCTCTTCTCCTCCTTCCTTCTGTGACAAGGTGACTGGGTGAAGGGTCTTGAATAAGTTAGTTGATGGTTTAAGATATTTAATTACATTAAAATAACTGATTTGACCTAGCGCCAGAATGCTAGCCTCCACAGCACGACAATGCTAACCTCCACAACGTCGCATCACTCTCAGAGAATATTCTAGATTCTTCTAGAATTTCATCATTAGAGAGCTTGGCACCGCGGCGCACCCTCAATTTCACCTCCCCACCTGAGAGCTTAATGTCACAGTGCCATCAGCCCAATGTCATGGCCCTCCTTGAGTGATTTTGATACCTTAGAATTTCACTTTTCCAACCCAATTCTTACTCACTTAATTCCTTCGTAAACACTCTAGAACAGATAATTATAAATTAAATCAAACAAACAAGCATTTAATTTAATTAACCTTAATTAATTAAGTTTCAGAACAGCAGATATTTTATTCTCTTCCTTATAAAAAATATTATCCTCGACATTCTCAATATGCAATACAAAAAATCAAATAAATTTGGATACAACTGTCTTATTTTGGGCTCTCTCTCACAGGTTGCCTTCCGCTTTGACATATGCTTCCACTGGACTTTAACCAATGGAATTTGTTTATTTCTTAACTGCTTTACCTTGAAGGCCAAAATGCATTTAGGGTTCTGCTTATAGGTCAGATTATGTTGCACCTCCACTTCAGCTTCCGAAACTCTCCAATCGACATTTGATGCCCATTTTTTCAACACTGATACATGAAAAATATTATGGATATCCTTCTCAATCTAGTAGAAACAACCTACAAGAAGATTTCTCAATCCTTTCGATCACTTCAAATGACCCTATATATCTGTGACTTAGCTTGCTATCCTTTCTAAGCTTGTTCACTACTTTTATTACACCGAGCTTCAGATGTTAAAAGTCATTGACTTGGAATCCAACTTGGAATCCGACTTGGAATTCCATACACTTGTACTTCATGTAAATATATTTCTTTTGCATGTCCTAAACTAGTTCTAATCTTTTCTTGATCGGTCTGATATTTTCAATAGCATTGTCTACAAGCACAGAACCTATCATCTTTCTTTCTCTTGCTTTAGTCCAAGAGAACAAAGTACGACATATTCTTTCATATAAAACCTCATAGAGAGCTATACTGATATTAATACTTGCTTGGAAGTTATTGTAAGTAAATTCAATTAAAGGTACTGTTGACCCCTATAACCAGCCCGAATCTTAAATTTGATAAAAAAGGATTTAGTTTGAATATGGATTGCATTAAATTTGATTATGCACTAGTCAAGGAAGCAAATTAAATGACGAACACCAAGCTTCTATTAATGGGGGCTGATTTGTACATAAACATTTCTCTTCTATCCATAGTGGGCCATGGCAGTATGGCAACCTGCTTATGAAAATGGAATGACAAAGGAATTTGACCTTAAAATGTAGGTTTGTGTTTCCGACAACTTTGATGTAAAAAAAAAGTCATTGCACATATGTTGGAATCTCTTAAGAAGGAGAGACCTCGTTTGGAAACGCTTAAGGCACGTCAGGATAGCCTTTGGATTGAAATCATGTCCAAAAAGTTCTTGCTTATGCTGGATGACATTTGGGAGAATGATAAAAATAGGATAAAAGCAAACGGGAGAAGGTGCTCGTCCTTTGGCTTACGGAAGTTTGGGAAGTAAAATTTTGGTAACAATTCGAACGGACTCAGTTACACTAATATTTGCAAAGGTAATTAAAAGAGAGGAGAAAATGATTAAATTAGGGGGTCTAGAAGAAGACGAGTATTTACTACTTCTCAACTCTCATGCACTTGCTGATAAGAAGAATCCTAATGATTATAAAAGATTAAGATCCACTACTAGAGAGATGATTAAAATGCTTTTTGGATCTCCATTTGTTGCAAAGGCCATCGGTGGTGTCGTGAATTCCTAGGCAATTTAAAAAAAAATGATGATATAAAGGCCTGCGTTACGACGGAAAGGAGCCCTCGAAAAATGCTCAGACGACATCTGATTGACAAACGGACAGCGCCATGGCGTCCGGAACGTCGTCGACATTCAGAAAATATATTTTATTTGATAAATTTGGATCATCTGAGATGGTGGTGAATTTTTAGGTGATGCAACTATGATATAAAG